AGTAGACGTTACTAGCAGTAATATTTATAGCAAAGGAGATAGAAAAATATGCTTTAACTACCGAAGGATGAGTATTGGAAAAGAATTGTCAATGCTGAGTCTCTATACAAACATGACGATCATGGGGTATAGATCAGATATGATCTGTCCGACCTGTTCCCTATTATTAGAGGACTTAAGCAAGGAAGCTGTATCATCTCGACACTTTTTAAAATACATTTAAAGGAAGCTTTAGGAAACAGGAGGAAACAATATTGTAGCATGGGGGTACCTATAGATAACGTCAACAGGGATTACAATACAGAGGATTACAATACGAGGACTATGGGCTCTCTATTACCCCGGTGAAGACTAGATGCAAGACATAGAACAACACTATTAATAACGTGAGATCCTATAGATATCTGGGGACTGCAAATTACAGACAAGGGGGATAGTTGTGAGGAAATAATTAGTGGAATGGCTCGCTAAGGTAGTAATAAAAGACTGAATAACGTTCTCTGGAGTAAGAAAATACACAAAAGAAATAAAATACGAATGTATAAAACTCTGGTCGAAAGTGTTGGAACCTATGGAACAGAGTTGTAGGAAGTGAACAGGAGAAATAAGTCTAATATCTAGGAGTAATCCTAGACAAAACCTTGTCATGGATTCGCCATTTGCAAGGAGTTTTGCACAAAGCTAAACTATCCTTGCGGACTCGTCGCAGTATTTGTGGAATAAATTGGGGTCTTACCCCTGAAAGACTGTACTGGCTCTATATGACTGTGGTTAGACCTATGATCAATCTGGTGCGATAAGCACAACGCCAACTCTAGCAATGGAAGTTCTGCTTGGCCTATCTCCTTTGCATTTATATATAGAGAAAGTAGCTAGAACAACCATTTACAGATTTAAGCTATATGCTCAAAACGATTGCTCTAGATTTAAGATGTCTTAAGTTAATTATAAGTATCTTTTTTTATGTATGTATATATTATTTTCTTGCAGAGCAATAAATTATTATTATTATCACGGCGGCGACTCGATATAAATTATATCAAAATGCGGTCACCAAATTAGATATAAAATCTGTATGGACCTCTGTATTGGAATATCAAGTTTAGGTGATTTAGAGAAATTATTGTAATCGATATTCTATTTGTCTGTTTTTTTTTTTATAATGAACATAATTTATATAAGTCGCATGATGCGAAGTTTATAATTCTAGGTGATGTTAATTTGCCTTTGATAAACGAGTCCGGCTTTGATTTTTTTGCTGTCAATAGTGTGAAATACAATGTAATTGGCAACTTTCTTAGTTTTTGCAATTGCAACTCGTACAGCAGTATAACAAACATACAGGGAAAAACCTTGGATTTAGATTTGTCGATGTTACGCTGGATGTTGGCCTTTTTGATTCGCCATTTGTGGAGGAAGATCTTTACCACCCTTGTCTAGAAATTAAATTATCTTACAAACCCGCAAATAAATTAACTTTACCAACACATTACATGAAGGACTATAAGAATGCGGATTTCATATTTTTATATCAACGTTTAACTGATACGGATTTTTTTTTGAGTACGTATGATAATGTGGATGATGCAGTTGCTGTATTTTATGATATTCTATATGATATCTTAGCTGATTGTACCCGAAAGAGCAAGTTGGGGCTCGTAAATATCCATTGTGGTTTAATCAAGGTATAATAAAAGATATTAAGGCTAAGGATTTCCATTTTAAACACAGAAAAGATTGAGAAGACCGTTTGGATAAATATAGAGAACTGAGGGCCAGGGTCAAGCGGGACACTGCAATAGCTTACAATAGTTATACACGAGATGTTGAAAATCATATTGTAGCTGATCCGAAGGCATTTTGGAATTTTATTGGTAGCAAAAGGGATAACTTCAACCAGAACCAGTTTTGTTCCGACGGAGTTCCTCTTGCTTCTAGCAAAGATATCACATCTGCTTTTGCAAATCATTTTAAGTCCGTTTATGGTTCAACGTCGAATTATTCTCTTTCGTTCTATGATAAATTGATTTGTTCAACTTGGATTCCTTCTCAATGAATGAAATTGGTGATGCCATAAATAAGCTTAAGTCTAAAGGTACAAAGGGACCAGATGGTATTCCCTCTTACATTGTGAAAGGCTGCAAAGACGCCTTTGTAATGCCATTATACATAATTTTTAATTTATCACTTATGACGAATACATTTCCAAATGTTGGGAAGGTCGCAAGAGTGACTCCGATTCACAAATCTGGCCCCTCTGGCGATGTAGGAAATTATAGACCTATATCGGTAATCTCCTGTTTTGCTAAACTTTTCGAACAATTGATTTATCGCAGGATTTTTAATCAAGTAAAACTTTCGTTGAATGTTAATCGGCATGGATTTATTCCTGGTCTCTCTGTGGAGACCAACTTAACTATGTTTACGGATTACTTTTCCAAAGCATTGGATGCTAGAGCTCAAGTTATCTACACGGATTTTGTAAAAGCATTCGATAAGGTGGATCATGATACGCTTGTGCACAAGCTGGCACAACACGGGTTTTCTTATTCTACTCTTAGTTTTTTTGTTTCATATTTGTCCAACAGATTTTATTATGTCTCTTATAAAAACGCATTATCAGATATGTTGGGGATTGATTTAGGGGTTCCGCAGGGTAATAATCTGGGACCTTTGTTATTCTTGTTATTTATAAATGATTTGCCCCTGGTAATTAACTCAACCAGATGGTTACTCTTCGCGGACGATCTGAAGATATTCACAACTGTACATGATTTAACTGACTGCCTGTCCTTACAGTCTGATTTAGATAATGTATTTAATTGGTGTCGGTTCAACAAGCTCCATTTTAATGTGTCTGAATATCAGTCAATGACGTATACATTGAGGAAGAGGCCGATAGAATTTGTATATAAATTAAATAATGTGAATTTGAGGTGTTTTAATTTAATAGAAACTATTCAAAATAAATTCATTAGGTATCTCTACTACAAAAAATTCCGTGTTTTCATTGATTTTAGATCGTACGAATTTGCACGCAAATTATTTAAGATCACCAGCTTGCCTCTCAGAAGAAAAATTATATCGCTCTGTTTTCTACATAAAATGTTGAATGCTCCACTAATATTAGAAAATATTGGTTTCTATGCGCTTGCATATTGTGGTAGGCTAAAGAATCTTTTCTATATTCCTCGGTTTTCAACTGAACTGAGACGAAATTCTCCTCTTGTTAGAATGCTTTCACTATACAACACACTGTCGGCTTCTTTCTTCATACCTCTATTTGGCATTGATATTAGATCGTTTAAACAATATTTGACACCTTTGATAAGTGCTGCAGCCACCCAGTAGCCAAACTTGATTTTTATCATTGAATTCTGTAATTTATGATGTAATTCTATTCATTTTTTTTAAAGTTTTGGTTCAACATATCCTCCGCGCGTTCTGTGATGCATTAATTAACATTTATGCTTGATCATGGATGTTTTGCTTGCTTTTATTGGTTATATTATGTACTAGTAGACTTAAGTTCTGAAATTTGTAATTAGGGGCAACCCTGTAATTTCGGAAGTAAAATAAAAAATAAAATAAAATAAACAGTATTGAACTGCACGGTGAAATTTGATAACGATATTTATCAGGGTACAA